AGGGTTATAGGCATGGATATGCGGACGTTGCAACCTTCCAGAGGCTAGTGATCAAATCTTACAGTGGTGATACAGCAGTTCCCTCCGGCCCCCCACAGCCACAAGATCCTGCACACCCCGCAGTAATAATTGAAGTGTAAGATCACTTTTACAGAAAATCTGTAAGGTGACCTTACTCTGGAACCCCTCCCCATCTCCACTAGTCCTGCTGTACCTGTGTCCCTCAATCCTCTGCTGTCAAGCACCTGGAAGCCGCTTCACCGGTCCAGGATTTGAAATCCCTTCTGCCTTATCTCTTATACATACCTCTCAGCGTCTACAGACAAGAGGCAATTCTAATGGACGACGCTGACCAATCAGAATCCGTCTAGCCTGTCCTGTTAGCCCTGCAAGGAGAGGAGAGAAACACAAGGATTTCAAATCCTCAGACCGGTGAAGCTGCGTCCCCATGTTTGACAGCAGGGGATTGGGGCATCGGGGGGATGGTAAACTTATACTTTACTGTGAGCCAATTACAGGTATTTATATTGTGCAAACAATTTACGCAGCGCTTTACATCTACAGTGCTCAAAAAAAATTAAAGGAACACTTTGAAAACACATCAGTTCTCAATGGGGAAAATTATCTTGCTGGATCTCTATACTGACATGGACTGGGTAATGTGTTAGGCGCGTTAAGGATGCCTTACAGTTTGATGGAAATGAAAATGATCGACCTACAGAGGACTGAATTCAAAGACACCCCGAAAATAAAAGTGAAATAATGATGCAGCAGGCGAGTCCATTTTGCTGAAATGTCATTGCAGCAACTCAGAATGGTCCTCAGTAGTTTGTATGGCCCCCACGTGCTTGTATGCATGACTGACAACGTCGGGGGAGGCTCCTAATGAGACCACGGATGGTGTCCTGGGGGATTTCCTCCCAGATCTGGACCAGGGCATCACTGAGCTCCTGGACAGTCTGATGTGCAACCTGGCGGCGGCGGATGGACCGAAACACTATATCCCAGAGGTGTTCTCTTGAATTTAGGTCAGGTGAGCGTGGGGCCCATTCAATGGTATAATTTCCTTCATCCTCCAGGAACTGCCTGCATACTCCCACCACATGAGGCCGGGCATTGTCGTGCACCAGGAGGATCCCAGGACCCACTGCACCAGTGTAGGGTCTGACAATGGGTCCAAGGATTTCATCCCGATACCTAATGGCAGTCAGGGTGCCATTGTCTAGCCTGTAGAGGTCTGTGCGTCCCTCCATGGATATGCCTCCCCAGACCATCACTGACCCACCACCAAAACGGTCATGCTGAACCATGTTACAGGCAGCAGAACGTTCTCCACGGCTTCTCCAGACCCTTTCACGTCTGTCACATGTGCTCAGGGGGAACCTGCTCTCATATGTGAAAAGCACAGGGTGCCAGTGGTGGACCTGACACTTCTGGTGATCAGTGGCAAATGCCAATCCAGCTCTATGGTGCTGGGCAGTGAGCACAGGGCCCACTAGAAGACATTGGGCCCTCAGGCCATCCTCATGAAGTCTGTTTCTAATTGTTTGGTCAGAGACATTCACACCAGTGGCCTGCTGGAGGTCATTTTGTAGGGCTCTGGCAGTGCTCATCCTGTTCCTCCTTGTACAAAGAAGCGGATAACGGTCCTGCTGATGGGTTAAGGACCTTCTACGGCCCTGTTCAGCTCTCCTAGAGTAACTGCCTGTCTCCTGGAATCTCCTCCATGCTCTTGAGACTATGCTGGGAGACACAGCAAACCTTCTGGCAATGGCATGTATTGATGTGCCATCCTGGAGGAGTTGGACTGCCTTTGCAACCTCTGTAGGGTCCAGGTATGGCCTCATGCTACCAGTAGTGACACTGATCCTAGCCAAATGCAAAACTAGTGAAAAACAGTCAGAAAAAGATGAATAAGGAAATAAATCTCAGTGGCCTCCACCTGTAAAACCATTCCTGTTTTGGGGGTCGTCTCATTGTTGCCCATCTAGTGCACCTATTGTTAATTTCATTAAAACCAAAGCAGCTGAAACTGATTAACAATCCCCTCTGCTACTTAACTAACCAGATGAATATCCCAGGAGTTTCATTGACTTGATGCTATACTCTGATTAAAAAGTGTCCCTTTAATTTTTTTGAGTAGTGTATATTGTACATTCACATCAGTCCCTTCCCTCAAGGAGCGTACAATCTAAGGTTCCTACCTCTCATATATGCACATACTAGGGCCAATTTAGACAGGAGACATTTAACCTATCAGCATTTCTTTGGAATGTGGGAGGGAACCGGAGTACCCAGAGCAAACCCACACAGGCACAGGGAGAACATGCAAACTCCAGGCAGGTGGTGCCATGGTTGGGATTTGAACCAATGACCCTAGTGCTGCCAGGCGGAAGTGTTAGCCACTTAGCTACTGAAATGAAAACCAAAAATTGCCTATAGTTCTTCTTTAAGGAGATGGTCTAAATCAGTCCATACATGGAGTGAATTTTGTCTGGTTCCTGATGAACTGGCTGGAATTCGAGCTGTCAGTTGAGGAAACTCATGCAGGCACAGAGAGAACGGGCAAACTCCTGCTGTGGTTGGTATTCAAGCCAACAAGGCTAGTGGTGTCAGGCGGAAGTGCTAACTATATGTAAGATTTCTATTATCTGCAGTTTGTAACTTGGTGAAACTCAAGCTGTGATGTTAGGCTATAAGAGACATATAAGGGAGTTTTTACTCTACGGCTTCCTAGGCCGAGATACATTTATTATATAGCGCACCTGAGCTCCTTTTATTAAAAAGAAAAAAAACATTAGAGGACAGGTTTAAAAGAGTCTGCCTAAATGTGCACCTTGAAGAGTGACTGAACTCTGGAAGCTGTGCCAAAAAAAACTTAGGTAAAAGGACTAGTCACCAGTATTACATTTGGTCTTTCTGCAGTTGATTCTTCGCTCTCCCTGATTTACCATGCTTTGTTCTTTTCCGTCTCTGAGTGGAGGCAGCCATCTTGGTAGAGGCAGGGCTTTGCTTCCTTATTTCAGAGCCTTCAGGAAGGAGAACAGGCAGCAGCACGGTATTGGCATTACCAAATCTCATTTCAAATGGTAGACTAGTGGCAGGAAACAGCAGTGTTTTAGATACTCTCTGAAGAGCAATCTGATCAGACAGCACCGCACATGAAAACAAGCCTTTTGTGATCTCATGATGATATTGGGCAGTGCTAATTATTGCTACCTGGGCGCTATTGTTTGGGAATTGTTAGGCATTCAGTACGTAGTAACAAAAAATAATAAAATATTCCTGCACCAATACAAAATAAGTGCCAATACAAAATATATGTATCCCTCTTCTAAATTGCTGCTGTGCAAAAAATGTGAAAACACAAATAATATTTATAAATAAAACAGCGCAAAATAGACCTCCATGCAAGTTTAGTAAATCACAAAACATAAATGTCCCATATTCATTAGTGCATATCTCTGTCAAAAAATCTTCCGAAAAGACACCCCAAAACCACTTGTGATGAAAGCTGAAGATTCCAAATGCTTTTAGGAGACTTCCACCTATCACCCGTGCACACCAACATCAAATACACTCACCAGATTTTGGTGAATTGACGCAATTTCCGGTCCACACATCCTACGTCTGACGTCACTTCCGGTGAGTGGAGCGCACGCCGGGCAGTGCGTTCCGGCGGCCATTTTGAGGGATTTAGGTTGGTCTTCTGCTGGTGTTGGCTTAATAAATGCGCCTTTTACAAGTTGGAAAAATGTGAGTGGCCTGGAATTTGTCTTCTGTCATAACATTTATCTGGCAATATTACACTATATAAGTTTTTTCTTTGATACGGTGGAGTAAACAAGGATACCACGGTGAGGACCTGGGAGAAGATCTAAACCTGGTGGGGCAGGCTATCATTGAGCTGATGCAAAGAGGGTTTAGGATCTCCCAAAAATCCTTAAAGGCTCTTCATTAACCAAAATCTGGTGAGTGTATTTGATGTTGGTGTGCACAGGTGATAGGTGGAAGTCTCCTAAAAGCATTTGGAATCTTCAGCTTTCATCACAAGTGGTTTTGGGGTGTCTTTTCGGAAGATTTTTTGCACTAATGAATATGGGACATTTATGTTTTGTGATTTACTAAATTTGCATGGAGGTCTATTTTGCGCTGTTTTATTTATAGATATTCAGTACATAGTAGCTTCCCTTATGTCTTGTGGCACCCAGGCAGTCAGACCCCCAGCAGGTAAAAGTCCCTCGTTTGTTTTTTTTTTTACTGCTCATCTAGAGTGGTGATACAGTCCCTGCTAGGGAAGAACCGGCATCCAGTGCTTGCGGCCTGCGGGGGTATTTTGCTGAGGCTGCTGTCTGGGGACCTTCAGGCCTCAGTGTTATGAATCCCGACCTCTCACTCTTTTTTTTATTGTGTATGAACTGTACAGTGACCTGACCCCGCTTCTCCGTTTATGAACGCCGCCAGCTGAGAACCATCAAACCATCTAATGATCTCATTCATTGTGTTTTATTTGTTTGACTTTCTTCTAATCTATAAACCACACACAAAGCCAGAGCCAATTACCAAGTGTTAACTGCATAATAATAAACAAAACAATTCCATTCAGTTCAGAGCATATCATTCCACACAAGGCATTCAAAATCCTATTCCCGGCACAGGGCGGCCTGTTTCTCATCAGGAAAATATGTGAGATATCGTCCTTGTACACACAATATACGGGCACATAGAAAGGGTGACGACACCCCAAAAATGCTAAATACCGTATACCCAACATACAGGCACAGGTTATAAGAAATCTGAAAGGCGTTTTTTTTTACATTTATTTATTATTTTAAATCTTTTGAATTTTTTTGGTCTTTTGGCTGGCAACCCAACCTTAACTACCTCCCGTCCAACTGTTGTGTATATATAAACGGCCGGACGGTGGCAGTGCAGGGTCAAGAGGCCGTTTATAAACAGCCTCCCCACCCCCTGCTTGTGCGCGCTCCCAGGGAGCCCACAGCACCCGTATCCAGTGTCCGCTGTGTCCTCGGGACATAGTGGAACACCGATCGTCGTACAGGACCTCTCTGCGAGATCTCGATCATGTGATCACTGATTGGCCAATCAGTGATCACATGCAGAGCAGTAAGCAAGATGTCACTTCTGACATCATTGCTTACTACGTGTGAAATCTGTGAATGATCACCGAGGTCATATGGTACAGGGCTATTCACACAACAGCCTTGAACCATGTGACAAGCTGTGACCAATCACAGCTCACATAGAGGAGGAGAAATGATTGATTTTACAGCCTTTATAGGTATAAAAGCAATCAGTGTAAAAAAAAAAAAAATCACTGCTCACACAGTATTTCTCAATGGTTGCAAGAAGGAGAAATGATTGCTTTTACAGCCTTTATGGGTGTAAAAGCAATCAGTGTAAAAAAAAAAAAAAATCTTCATCACCCCCCCCACAAGTAATACAGTGTCACCATGGTGGCACTATACTGCTAGGGTGACAGTATGTAAAAAGAATAATATAAAAAAAAAAAAAATGTAAAAAATATGTAAAAAATATGTTCAAAAATTATAATTTTTGGTTATAAAGGAATTTGGGTTATTTTTTTTTTTTTTACTAAAAAGTTAACTGAATAAATTTTGGCCAAGATTTATGATGAAATTTTATTTATTTGCAAAATGTTTTCAAAAGTTTTGGACTTTTTCATTTACATAGCAAAAAAAAATTTAAATCCCAGTGGTGAATAAATACCACCAAAATAAAGCTTTATCAGTCTCAAAACAAAAATTCAAAAAATTCATATGGGTACAGTGTTGCACGACGGCGCAATTGTCATTCAAAGTGTGATAGCGCTGAAAGCTGAAAATTGGCCTGGACAGGAAGGGGGTGAGAAGTGTCCGGACAGGAAGTGGTTAAAAACCTCAAACTGAGGTGTAACGCTCATATTCTTACTTGTTCCTGTGGAATACGTGTAGCCTAAAGCCCAATTGTAATCACACTAATTAGTGTTTTTGTGCATCTCGTGCAGAAGGACTTTTTTGGGGGGGGGGGGGGGGGGGGGGGGTTTGTATGGGATTTAGAAAAAAAAATAACATTTATACTCACCTAGGTGGATGCAGCAGTGATCTGATGACTGCTGATCGGTCAGTTCTCAGTATTCTGTGAGGAGAGAGCAAGGGGTTGTCAGTCACTAGCTTTTCGCTCTGCCCCTCCAGCACTCACTGGAGTGCCAGACTAGGGAAGGGGGCTGCTTGCTCAGGCTCTCAGTGGCTCGGTGAGAGGCTGAGCCAGCTTGCTGCTTCAGGCATCTGGGTAGATCCTGACCATGTGATCAGGATCTTCTCAGAGCCTGGACAGGCTCTCTGACATCAGCCGACAGCGGGCCATTGTTAGCTGAAAATGGATCACAGAAGTGCAAAAATAAATGCACTCCTGTGATCCATAGTGCAGCCAAAGTAGGTTTGGCTATACTTCTCCTTTAACCACTTCCAGTCCGGACACTTTTACACGCTTGCTGTCCAGGCTAATTTTCAGCTTTCAGTGCTATCACACTTTGAATGGCAATTGCGTGGTCATGCGACACTGTGTACCCATATGAATTTTTTAGCATCTTTTTGAGACCGATCAAACTTTATTTTGGTGATATTTATTCACCACTGGGATTTTTTTTTTTTTGCTATATAAATGAAAAAGTCCACAAATGTTGAAAAACAGTTTTTTTCTTATAAAATTTTGCAAATAATCTTTCTTCATAAATCTTAAAATTCAGTTATCTTTTTAGTAAAAAAAAAAACCCAAATTAGTTTATAACCAAAAATTATAATTTTTCAAAATTTTTTTTTTTCTTTTATATTATTTGTTTTTTTTGTTTTTTACATACTGTCACTCTAGCAGTACAGTGTCACCATAGTGACACTGTACTACTTGGGGGTGCTGAAGATTTTTTTTTTTTTTTACACTGATTGCTTTTACACCTATAAAGGCTGTAAAATCAATCATTTCTCCTTCTCTATGTGAGCTGTGATTGGTCACAGCTTGTCACACGGTACAAGGCTGTTGTGAATAGCTTTATACCATGTGATCTCTGTGATCATTCACAGATTTCACACATAGTAAGCAATGATGTCAGAACTGACATCTTGCTTACTACTCTTCAAGTGATCACTGATTGGCCAATCAGTGATCCCATGATTGGGACCTCACACAGAGGTCCCGTACAACGATCGGTGTTCCGCTGTGAGGGAGCGGGGAGGACGTTTATAAACGGCCACCCTCCCCTGCACTGCTCCTGTCCGGCCGTTTATATACATGGGCCAGACAGGAAGTGGTTAAAGAAGATCTAACATTAGAAATGTTATTTTTACATGTTCTCTGTCCCGTGTTTCTAGGTGTTTTCTAACCCTAGTTATGAGGTCTGACCTGCACCCCCTTCCTTCCTGCCACTGCTGATCCAACAACAGCTAGGAAGGAGTTGATTGATTCATTGCTACAGCTTGTCTTGGTTGTGAGTACTTCCGAGATGGGAACTGGCAAGAGGAATATAGAGGTTGACATGTCCCCCCTCCCTCAGCATACCTCTTGCAGTTGCTTAGCTCTGGAAAGTGCTCACAACCAGGACAAACTTTAGCTATGAATCAGCCATCTCCTTACTAGCTGTTTTCAGATCGACAATGGCAGGAGGGGAGCGGCCAGATTGGACCTCTTAACCATAGGGAACAGAACTGTAAAAAATTATGATTGATCTTCTTAAAAGTTAAACTTCTGGATCAATTTTTTTTTCTCTCCATATTAAAGGCTAAGTTCACCATACACTTTGCAAACTAGGGCATTCAGTAGGTTAAAATGTTCTGCTTTAAAATGTTAACTACTGTAAGTGCCATACACCATTTTTGGTAGCCCTGAAGATTACGTAACATATTCCCATATCTGTTTACATTCCCACCTTGGGTAGGGTAAAGCTGGGATCCCTCCTCCTGGCCACTGGAGATTGCTGAAGTTATCAGAGGCCTGTGGTGGCATCAGTGGGATGAAAACTTTTCTTATGTCCACTTAAGTAGGTGTCTTACGGCTTTTTAATAAAGCCGCTTAAAGGCCAAGTTCACCTTTGGTACAGTTTTTTCAGAAGTGGCCGTTCAAACAAGGGGCCCTAGTAGGGTAAGAAAATAACTGTCCAGCTTTAAAAAATATTGATTGCCGTATGTGCCCTACCTGTAGGCCATTTTCATTAGCATTGAAGCCTGGCCGAACTACTCCAATATCTGGTTTTGAAACAGGCAGATGCTCCCCCTCTTGTGATGCTGAAGGTGAGAATCCAGTGGCTGGAGCATCCTGGAATCTGGCCGGGATAGGAATGTAAACAAATATGGGAATATCTCAGCCAGGCTTCAAGGCAGCCAAAAATGGTCTTCAGGTATGGCACTCACAGTAATCAATATATATATATATATAGTTTAATTGGATCCTGTCTAATTTCGCCCTAGTATGTGTATGTATGAGTTAGGGACCTTAGAGTATAAGATCGTTGAGGACAGAGACTGATATGAATGCAATAAATACAGCATATGCAAAGCGATGTGTAAAATGACAGTATTATATACGTACCTGTAATAAAAACTCCACGAAATTCTCCCTTGCAGTGGGGCTGCGCCCGCATTGCGGTGGTAGTCTAAGGTCCTTTGACATCATCAGAACTGATGCAAGGACCATAGCTCTGCTCTGGACACAGGGATGCCAAGGGACAGTCTGCTGCCAGACCATGGGGGAGTGCTGGCTCATGGGGAGGGTGGAGGATCAGGTAAGTCTGGATTTAGAGCAATGATGACACTTTCCATAAAAAAATGGAACTTCTATTTGGAATAGTTGTATTGTAGTGATATCACTCCTGTATCATAAAATGTATGTTTGGTAGTAGTGATGTCACTCCTGTATCATATAATGTATGTTTGGGTAGTAGTGATGTCACTCCTGTCTCATATAATGTATGTTTGGGTAGTAGTGATGTCACTCCTGTATCATATAATGTATGTTTGGTAGTAGTGATATCACTCCTGTATCATATAATGTATGTTTGGGTAGTAGTGATGTCACTCCTGTATCATACACTATATAATACAGAAGTGACATCACTACTACCAAACATACATTATATGATACAGGAGTGACATCACTACTACCCAAACATACATTATATAAATACAGGAGTGACATCACTGCTATCCAAACATACATTATATTATACATGAGTGACATCACTACTACCCAAACACATTGTGTAGTAGTGATGTCACTCCTGTATCATACAATGTATGTTTGGTAATAGTGATGTCACTCCTGTATTAGATAGTGTATGTTTGGGTAGTAGTGATGTCACTCCTGTCTCATATAATGTATGTTTGGGTAGTAGTGATGTCACTCCTGTATCATACAAACACATTCAAAATACATATTTTGACTATTTTGGAGGTTTATATGGTACCCTTTTTGGTGTTCAGCTGCTATTATCTCATTCTATCCATTTTTATCATTTTATTTTAAGCGCTCACTTACCCTGCGATTTACTACCCAAACACATTGTATGATACAGGAGTGACATCACTACTACCAAACATACATTATATGATACAGGAGTGACATCACTACTACCAAACATACATTATATGATACAGGAGTGACATCACTACTACCCAAACATACATTATATGAGACAGGAGTGACATCACTACTACCCAAACATACATTTATATGATACAGGAGTGACATCACTACTACCCAAACATACATTATATGATACAGGAGTGACATCACTACTACCCAAACATACATTATATGATACAGGAGTGACATCACTACTACCAAACATACATTATATGAGACAGGAGTGACATCACTACTACCCAAACATACATTATATGAGACAGGAGTGACATCACTACTACCCAAACATACACTATCTAATACAGGAGTGACATCACTATTACCAAACATACATTGTATGAGACAGGAGTGACATCACTACTACCCAAACATACACTATATAATACAGGAGTGACATCACTACTACCAAACATACATTATACGATACAGGAGTGACATCACTACTACCAAACATACATTATATGATACAGGAGTGACATCACTACTACCAAACATACATTATATGAGACAGGAGTGACATCACTACTACCCAAACATACACTATATAATACAGAAGTGACATCACTACTACCAAACATACATTATATGTTTGGGTAGTAGTGATGTCACTCCTGTCTCATATAATGTATGTTTGGTAGTAGTGATGTCACTCCTGTCTCATACACTATAGATTTGGGTAGTAGTGATGTCACTCCTGACTCATATAATGTATGTTTGGGTAGTAGTGATGTCACCCCTGTAAGTTACATCCTATGATATGAGAACTGTGATGTCACTAGAAAGTGTTCCATGATGGACAGGTGGTTGAAGGTAAAATACATTTGGAATCTGACATTTCCTTTTGCTGTAACTTTTTTTTGTTTTTTCAAATTGTAACATTGTGTCTTATAAGATATAATGGACCCCCTTAGTGTAAAGGTCACCCCTGAGCCGTTGGGGACAAAGAACTGGCGATCCCAACAGACAACATGAATAAAAGCTGCGAAGGGTTATCATGGAATGTGCACTGGGCAGCATTCCAGGAAAAGGGATGCAATATATTTTTGTTTTTCTCCAGCCTGGTATTGAGCCTTGGTTTAGTAGATGGGAGGATAGTTGCAGACAGTAGCAGTCCTTACAGCTGTCCAGGTGCCTGGCTTCTTTTCGGTCCAATGCTTCGGAAAATATTAACTTTTAGTTACAATCCCCCTCTGTTGAATGTGTGTACAGATGAAAGGCGGGCACCGAGATGGCAGAAGTAGAGCAGGACCCTCTGAAGCTTCGCTCTTTCTAAGTGGAACTTTGTTGTCTTGGTATGCCAGGGACGGAGGAGGAGGAGAGGTGTTGAATTGTCCACTGTCATCGCTTTTGCCCAGAAGATGGATGGGGTCGGATGGAAAGTGTGAATGAAGTTGCAGTCATTGACTGATGCCTCTGTCCTATTAAGACCATCTTTCTATGTGTCTCACAGTAAACACAAAAAACCAAAACAACAACAAACAGAACTGGCGCTTTGTCCATGCTGCCACGATGATGCAGTATCTCCTTGTTTTCGGAACGCATGGCTAGCATTCACATGGCTTCCTGATGCTTCAGGGGTATAACTTTCTAGTGACACTGTCCCCTCTTCATCCCCAATCCTGTCTCAAGCCGCTTTCATCCTGTAACAGATGGCCCTTGCAAGACTGATGGCTATGCAATCCGTCATCTCATGACACCGTCAAGCTGCGCTTCATTAACACGCTGTTGGGAATCTGTCTTGGCCTAGGCAGTCTAGTTTTTTTTTTTTTTTTTTTTTTTGTTTGTTCCAGTTAGGTTTAGTTTTTTTATGTACCTTTTTAAAGTAACTAAATTTGGCTTTTCTTACGGGTTTCTTCAAATCTTCCATTTTGGAAGCATTTTCATGGGAATGGCGGAGTCTATCTGGTCTGCAACGGTAACCCAGCAACGCGGTTCTCATTTCCCCCACCCCGCTTACCAGTGATATTTATGTGCGCCGGTTTCTTTAGCGGCACAGAAGGGACAATTAATCATCGCTATAGACTGTATTACTGCTGGGAATCAACGGGACCTCTAAGCGGAAGACATAAGATGGCCGACCTGAAGTTCTTACTCCATCAGAAGCCTTTAGTTCGTATTGTGCATGAAGTTGGCTGCCAGCATGATAGACCATTCTATGGTATGGGAAAGGTTCGACTTTTTACGCTTAACCGCGCAAAGTGATCGATGAGGCCGCACCAGTGGTCTCTTGGTGTGCGTGCCTGCATTTTCTAGTGTGCGTCTTTGTCCTTCATGTCTTGGGTTATGATTTTGTTCAACTTTCCTGTTCAAATGTAGTCAAAAATTTTGCTCTTAAACTTTGGTTTCCCGTGTGTCACTATCTCAACCTTTCAATGGTACCTTTAAATCTTGTCAGTCACAGTTTATTGTGTTTTTTTTTTTTTAATGTGATACAAGTACATCCTATCCACTTGGTGGAAACCATTTTTTAATTGAGCCTGGTAATACTGTTCTTTGAACATTTACAGAAATATTTTCACATCTACAGATCCCATCCTTTGCTATATGTGTCAATCTGAGTGTCGCCTACTCCCGTATTTTGCTATACACACGATGACCACCAGAACCCGTTGACTTTGTCAGTCTGTCTAAAGTGTGGAGCAGAAGTGTCTGTATTCACTGATCCTTCCTAAAGTTCT